GATAGGAAGGGAAAGAAAGAGAAAAAAGTGTGAGAAACATTGATTAGTTGCCTCTAGTATGTGCCCCACCCAGGGATTGTACCCACACCCTAGGTATGTGCCCTGACCAGGAATTGAACCCACAACCTTTTGGTGTGTGGAACAATGCTCAACCACCTGAGCCACCTGGCCAAGGTCAGTGTTTTGATTTGTTTTTTTAAAAAATTTTTATTTATTGATTTTAGAGAGAGGAGGCCAGGGGCGGGGTTGGGGGGTGGGCAGAAAGAGAAACATCAGTTTATTGTTCCACTTGTTTATGCATTCATTGGTTGCCTCTTGTATGTGCCCTGATGGGGGATTGAACACACACCTTGGCATATCAAGGACGACGCTCTAACCAACTGGGCTACCCACCAAGGCCCGGCTGGCTTCTTTTAAGTGACGTGGCTGCCAACACCCTTTTCCTTAAACACTTTCTTCCTGGGTTGACTGGTGGGTGCCCTTGACATGATGTTCTTGACTTAGAGGAGAATTTCTATTATTACTAGGCATCTGGCTTGTACTTTTCCTAGGGAACCAGATACTAGACTGGTACTGATAAAAATCCAGAACATCTTAAAATGACATACTGGGGTTCTGTGTTTTAGGTCACCCATTTACTTGGGTCTTCACTTAGAATGAGAGTTAGGACTGTAGAGTGCCAGGTACAAGTAGCAATGAAGTACAGGCTGAGTGTGAATGGAGAGCTTTTGTTGGAGCTCAAATTCCACAAAGTTGATAACCTCCTTTACCGGGCAGGGCCCTCAGGCAGCAGTTTTTCGGTATCTAACCAAGGTGGGTGGTGATATACATCCAGTCCACATCAGCCAGTCAGGTATTCTTATCTGATGATTACTTAGCATTCCAGAGTGTTCTTGGTAGGGTGGAAAGTATTATGGAGGTAATTTTGAGGTGTTTGTAGATTCCTTAGGTACTGATTTTTGCTAGGATAAAATGGGGGTAAATTATTTATTTGATACAGGAGATCAATTACAGTTGAGGATTTCCTGCCCTGGCACTGGTCCCTGCGGAGGGAGGTCTTTTCTAGCTGGTTTCTGCTCCGGCAGGTGGTGATTCTGTGCATCAACTTTTTTCTCTCTTCAATTTTGGTGGCAGTGGTATTCCCATAACCTATTTTCCAATGGATATAAGAAGAGTTGTTGATTTTTTTAGTTTGTTCAGCTTTTTATTTGTTACTAGGATGGAGTGGCAGCTTCTAAGTTCTTTACGTGCTGGTCTGGAAACCAGACATTGATTTTTTAATTAAAAAAGACATTGCAATTACTGGATGATCATCTTGGTCTTGTTTACACTCAGTTTTATGCTTTATATGGTAGATCTATGAAAAACCCAAGGTCTTTCCCAAACCTCTCTAATTTGGATGGTCTAGCTTAGGCCTTACTCAAGGGCCTGGTTCTTACTCTGTTGTACCACCTGTTTGGTGTCTCAGCTGGAGGCCAGGACTCTTACCAAGCAAGACCTCTCCATTTTGGCAGGGACAGAGCTACAATGTCTTTCGCACTCTCTTCCTGGATAGAGAATGATGTATTTAGAAGTTGTACTACTACTGCTGTTTTTAATTTTTAAAAAATATATCTTTATTGATTTCAGAAAGAGGAAGGGAGAGGGAGAGAGAGAGGAACATCAGTGATGAGAGAGTCATTGATTGGCTGCCTCCTGCACGCCCCCTACTGGGGATTGAGTCCACAACCTGGGCATGTGCCCTGCCCAGGAATCGAGCTGCAGTCTCCTGGATCCTAGGTCAATGCTTAATTGCTGAGCTACGCCGACCGGGCTACCACTACTGTTTTTAGATACAGGACTAATTTTGTTAAATTCAGGGCACATTAACAGGGGTATTCTTACAGAGTTTGGTTGATGCCCTCTGAATGTTTTTTCTGTGGATGATAGACGGATGGGTGCAGCACAGAGATATTTGAACACATCAGCAAAATTTGGAAATACACTGGGTGTAATGATAGACTCTTGAGTGCCTGGAAATTCTGGAAGATCAGGACAGTTGTGGTTGGGATAGTGGTGATTAGTGCAGATAGCTCTGAGTATAGAATTCTAGTTTGAAGTAATTTTTCTTTAGAATTTGATGGCATTGACCTGTGATTTTCTTTCAGTGTTGTTAAGAATTTTGATGCATTTAAAAAAATTCTTAATCCTTAGTATGAAATCTGTTTCTCTCTGGAAGTCTGTAAAATCTTATCTTACACTCATAATTCTGAAATTTTACGATGATTTGCCTTACCATGGATCTACTTTTGTCATTTGTGCTGGACACGTGAGTCAGGCCTTTCAGTCTGGAAGGTCTACAGCCTTTTACCCTAGAACATTTTATAGAATTAACTGTGTGAATTCTTCCATATTCACTATATAAACTTTCACGTCGTGCCCACATTTTCAGCAATGTGGTGTATCTCAGTCCGAAAACCCTGTTTTACTCCCCCCAGTGAACTCAGGTCTTTCGTTCTGGTGGGAAAGTGGGCAGGGTCAGGCTGTGCAGTAATGGGAGATGACCTGAGTGGTTAACTACTTCTAAGGCAGGCTTTCAAGAATCCTGTGGTTTCAGCACCGCCCTTGTCCTCATGGCCAGACATGTGTGAGCCTGTTGGGAGCTCCCTAATGATTCTCAAGTTGCTTCTGAGCTTTCCCCACAATTGGCTTTGGATTCAGCTTTCTCAGGTTTGAGTAATGTGCCATTGTACATCTGTTCTAGAAATATATATGCTTTTTAAAGCATTATAAGATGCGGATCCAAGGAACATGATGAATACTGATGAGCAAAAATGATATTTCATTGTATCTGCAACAGGAGTGATATTATATGAAATTGTCTTTGACTTATATTGTTGACCAAGTCCCATGTACTGCTAAATACTACGATTTTTTTTTGGATTACATTAATAAGTGATAGAAAGGCTAAAGTTCATTTAGAAGACAGTGTAAAAATAAAAATGTACTCTTTTTTTTATTCACTTTTCTGGAATCTCTGAATTCTACCCATGGACCCAATTTAGAACTCCTGAATTAAATGAAATATTATGAGATCATAATCATGGTTTCCTAGATTTGTCCACATTTTTCAAAATGGCTTGTATAGTGTGTAATCCTGATCAACCTTCATTCATTCAGCAAATATTTACTAAGTATCAACCAAGTGTAAGACGGGGCTTGCACCAGGGATACATTAATTAACAAAACACACAGACTTTTATCTTTATGGAGTTTATAGATCTAGTGGAATGTGTAATTGGTGATAGTGGAGCCTATATTAAAGTACATAGTTTGCCCTGGCCAGTGTGGCTAGGTTGGTAGGAGTGTCCAGTGTGGCAGGTTTGGTTCCCGGTCAGGGCACATATCCAGGGTGAGGGTTCTCCCTGGTGGGGGTGAATGCGGAAGGCAACTCATTGACGTTTCTCTCTCTCTTCCTCTCTCTAAAATCAATAATAATAAAAAATACCTAGCTTATATATATTACCACTCCTATAAAAGTAACTGAAGTCCCTTACCTTTTTATATTATCAGTACTTGAAACAGAACTTGAAAGATTTTATTATAATAGTAATGGCTATTTTTTTAAAAATGTGAGGTAGGCAGAAAAGAAAAAACCACCCATTATTGCATTAATTAGATTAACCACTGTTAACACTTTATTGTATATTTTAGTTTCTTTTCTATATACATATACCTATATGTATATTTAAATATGCACAATGTGTTTATAAAATTGGATTATACTATAAAAACATGTAAAATTTTAAATTTTAATTTTTGTTTTTACTTTGATTTTAATGGCTATATATTAATTTTATGAAAGTACCCTAATTCTTACCTTAAGTTTTTAAAAATTTTTTTCTTCTAATTTCGTATAGATAAATCTTACCAACACATCCTTAGTTAATTATTCCAACAGTTTATTATGAAAAAATTAACTATGTGGAAAATTTAAATATTACAATCAACACTTATATATCCACTGCTTAGATTATATAATTAATATTTTAGTATGCTTACTTTATTATCTATCCAATTATCTATCCCTCTTTAGTTAATTTTTTAGTAGATATTTAGAAACGGAATCATGCATTTTCCAGGCACATTTTAATAGTTTTTAAAATTTATGGTAAGTAGCCCTTCAGGAAAATGTTTGTTATTAATTTACACTCTTACTAGTGGTTATTAGCATACTTTGAACCCTTGCCAACACTGGGTTTTATGGTTTTTATGTAACTTTTGGCTAATTTTTGATATACAGATTGTTACTAAAGTAAGTTTCTTAGAGTTTGCTTTGATAACCTAATCTCCACTGTGGATTTTGAAAAGAAATACATATACTTTGTTCTTTGTGATACTTACTTTTTAAAAAAATGGGAACATTGTGCTTGTTCATTAATTATTTAAGGTACAGTTGGGATTTCAGTCAGGAAATCACTAGTCTTTTTATTTTTAGTGTATGCACTATAGTGTGTAAATTGGATAAGCACTCTAATTAGAATATTTAGTTGTAGCATATTCAGACTTTTTTCTTTTTCACAGAGTAATTGAGCCGAAGGAGAGAAATGATTAATTGGAGCAGTCAGCAGTAGAACTAGAATCTCATGAATTAAATTCTTTCACTCACTGGCACTTTGTTTCACTTCTTGGACCTCTGTTTTATTCCTTGGACCAGTGTCCCACTTGATGTAACTGATATAAAGACTCAAGAAATGAAGATGTGAATTTGAAGTGTTAAGCAATCTAGGCATTTAGGTGGGCATATAGTGTGAGGGCGTTGAAGCAAGGAAATAGATGAGAAGGTGGAAAGGCTTACACAATACTTTTAAAAATTATAGATTGCTTCTATTTTATTGTAAAAGTTGTTTATAAACAATTAACTTTGGTATGGCTATTTAAAAAATTGTATGGAAATTTCACTAGACAATATGTTACCTTTGTTATTTTATAAGCATTTAGCCATATCTCTTTGTTCACAGCTGGGCTCAAAATGCAGAGAACTCAAAGATATTCATTTCGGCCAGTGTTACAAGATCTCAGATGAAGGCATGATCGTCATAGCTAAGGGCTGTCTGAAATTACAGAGAATATACATGCAGGAAAACAAATTAGTAAGTACTTATATCATCCTTGTACTTTTGATTTTGTTCCCGACCTTTGAATTCCTTATAACTTAGCTTATATATTTTCTTCTGCTTATTATTTTTGGTGGTTTAGAGGCAAATATTACTTAATAGCAAGAATTCTCTTAAAACAATAATTTTACGAATTGATCCTCTAACTGTGTAGGTGCTTGTATGTGGCACTTGCATGACAGCCACTAACTCAGGTGTATTGGGGAAAAAAAATTTTAGTTGTAAAACAAGTTTGTGGTGGTAGTTTCATCTTACTCTCCTAGAGATTGTCATAATTCTGGATAGTAAGGATTTTTTAATATTCAGGAAGATGTACACTTGCAAAACAGAGCCTTTCACTAAGTGTGGTGAAAATGGGATTCAGTAAGGTGAGGCAGATAGTCTTGGTAATTACACAAATTTTATATTTCAAGCATACACCTGTGTAACTTATTCACACCGAATGTATTATATGTAATATATTTAAAGCCATTTAATTTTCTTTTATTGAGATACAATTCACATATCATAAAACACACCCTTTTAAAATGTACAAGTCCATGATTCTAGTATATTCACAAAGTTGTGCAATCATCATCACTACTTCTAGAATATTTTCATTACCCCAGACAGAAACCCTATGCTCATTACCCATCATTACCCACTCCCTGCTTCCTTCAGCCCCTGGCAACCAGCGGTCTGCTTTCTATCTCTGGGTTTGCCCGTTTCAGACGTTTCACATCACTTGACTCACACCACACGTGCTTTCTTTGTGTTTAGCTTTCGCTTTGCATAGTGTTTTCATGGTTCATCCCTGTTGTAGCATTTGACAGAGCTTCATTTCTTTTTTTAGGGCTCAATAATATTCCAAATCCATTTAATTTCAATTTAATAGATACATAGTACAGGTTAACAGAAAAAGTTGTCACTAGGGAGGTGCTGGTAGAGTTTTCAATGCTGAAAAAAAATGCACTGTAAAATAGGCAAGGCGGTCTTGAATATATTGCATATTTACAAAGAAGACTTGCTTTTTAATTGTGTCCCCAAAATAAAGAGATCATTTTGTGGCCCCTTGGAGTTAGTTCGTAAAATTTGATAAATATATCTTATATATTAATGTAAGTTTTGAAAGTTTTCCAGAAGCATCATCAATTCAAGTGAGATAATACTGTTTTAAAAGATTCCAGTTAGAAAAGTTGAAACACTGTGAATTAAAAGTAAATGCTTTTATTACCACACAGAATTATATTTGTCTCTGAAATTACATAGTAAAAATATTTTACTTTTCTCTTTCCTACATTTAACATAAACTTAATAATTACTCCTGAGGCGCTATGATCTTGTAGCGGGAGTAGGTCTTTTGGGTTAGAGAGACTGAGGTTTTGAATCCTGGTATCCACTTACTTGCTTTGTGACTCTGGGAAAGTTACTTAAGCTCTCTGAGCCTCATTGCCTCATTTGCAAATGAGGTTAATACTTGACTTTTTTGCATGTTGTGGCTTTGTGGATTAAATGACATAATGTCCTTAAATTGTTCAGTACAAACTCTGACACATGAAAAGTCATAGTCTTTATGAGGCTATGATTATATTTGTTGTCTGTTCGTTTCCGCTTTATACTCAAGATAAATTAAAGGATGGTGATCCCAACTTAAAATTTTTGTATTCATCACATAATGGAAATATTTCTTTAGTGAATATTATTTGTTTTCTTGTTGAGTAAACACAGAGGAACATTTTTCTTGACACATTAAAATTTTTAGCTAGCGGTTTCCCAAAGTAATTTAACTGTATATGTTTTGAAGGCTCTGGTTATATTCACATTAGGTTTTCCCTGATATTGTGGTCCTTTAAAAAGTTGTTATATACTTAAATACCAAGGGAATCAGTTGTGTATATAGGCTTATTTAGTAAGTATTTGACTTTATTGGAAATTTGAAGTACTTTAGCCAGATATTAAAGACAGTTCAGTTTCATAAAGTTTTTTTTTTTTTTCTTCAGTTTAAGGCTCTTAGGGAAATTGAGAATGCTTTGAACTCTTTATATTGGATGGTTGAGTTACTCATAACTCACCTTCCACAGGAACTTTGCTTCGTGTTTTTGGAATTTATGAAATAAGGAGAATATTTTAATTACTTGCAAAACTACAGTTTTAAGTAGTTGGATTAACTCTGATAAGTGTTATTATTAGTCATTTAACAATGAATATTTTAAATAGGGTAAATAGAAATGATAGTAGTCTGGTTAAAGGCAAATAATATTTATGCAGATATATAATTTATATTGTATATATCATTACAAACAGGAAATATAGACATGGTTAAATAGGACAAATATTTTGAATTAATAACTAATAGAAATAGTTAGGAGAATACTGTGTCTGAAAGGATGCCAATAGAATTTAACTTCTGTAAATATTAATCATTAGCCAAATTATTTTGCTAATTCTCTTATTAAATTGAATTTTTTCAAAAGTTTTAGAGCTTCATTATGTAGTCTATATAGCATCATAGCATAGTGTTTTTATTTAAATATAAACTTTGTTGACTTTAAAATATCAAATTGGTTGTTTTTATACATTGGCAGTATTTGAATATACTTTTCCCCCCATGTTATATTTTGGCCTTTAGGTGGCAGCATTGTCTTTGTACATTTCAGTGACATCTTTTTGTGTCCTTAATATAACTGTAAAGTTACAATGCTTGTACATAGTTTCTGCAGATATTATGGTGTATTTTTAATTTTTGTTCTTTAGGTGGTTTTAATGGTAAATTTTTTTTATTAAAATGATTTGAATTATTAGTTGCAGCTAGAATGTTAAAAGATGAACTTGCTATTTTACACAAGGTAGCAAGATATTCAAACATGCTTATTTGTGACACTGATTTAGGTAAGATAAACTTGAGAATAGTGGAAGGATTCCTGTGTTTACCAGAGGGAAAACTTTTATTCAGGTGGAAATTGAGGACAGTGACTTGACATTTTAAGGCTCAAATGAATTATGGCGAGACAAAGAATGGAGGATTTACATCTAAAATCTTTCCAAAAGAGAATGAGTTTCTGTTTTAGTCATTTTCGAGTTAGACAGGTGCCATGTGCCTATATGATTGTATTTTGCGTTCACTATAAAACTCTTGTATAGAATCTAGAAATAGACTTGAGGAACACAGCTACAGTGAGGATCTAGTATATTGTATACGCTGTTTCCCTGCTTCTAGTGATAGCTTTCATATCACTTCTGTGCAATACTTACTCTAGGTTATTTTAAAAGCATATTTAGTTTGTGGGTATAGTTATTGATAACCTAGGGACCTCATTAAGTATATTCTCTCTGCTTTTTTACTTTTTGGACAGAGGAGCTCTTTGGGCAGTTTTTAATTCAGTTGTAAAATGATGGGGCCAGATAGATTATCTTGTCATTTGTTATCCAATCTGATGTTTTAAAGTACTTTACTAGGATTTTATGAATTATTATGAGAATAGCTTCTATCCTCAGTCCTGTGGTCATCATATCTGATACTAGGTCTGTATGTGTTGTGTGTATTTGTTTTTTAAAATATCTTCTACTTTGTAGAGTTGAGTTGTGAACTAGTATAGATTTCTGAATTATCAAGAAAGTAGTAACGTATTATGAATAGATTTTAGAAAGTTTTAGGGAAGTGTTAAATGTTTCCTGATTAAGACTTGATTTCCTGAAAGTTAATTGTGACCTTTTATTTTATTTCAACCTCCTGGTGAATTGTTATTTTACTAGTATTATAATTCTGTGACATCTCCTAGAGTCCTTTGGCTGCTGCTGCAACATTATTTGTAACGTTTTTTATTGCTCTTAATTTTATTATCCTTTGGAAGCTTACACAGATGACACAGGATCTGAATTCACCTCCAGGCTCTCTTCTTCCAGGTTGGAAGCATTTAAGGGGTGACTGAGGCAAATATCATGTTTGAATCAAACTGAACTCCATTCCTGCCTTGATCCTGCAGTTTTTCTTACTCATGTGATTTGGGTTACCTTAAATTTTGTGTGTGTTTGCATAAAGGGTATAATACTACTTCAGACATGCTCTTGTGAGAATCAGACTAAATGAGATTAAGAGGGAAAGTACCAAATGTGTTTCGTGGTCCCAAATATAAGACATCTTCAGTAAGGGTTACTTTTCTTCCTCTCCCTACCAGAGTTTGCTTTCTGGAGCCACCAGTTTGAATTGGGCTGTGTTAGTGCCTAATATCACCTGCTGTGTTCTTATTTAACCCATTAGCTTACCTGCAGTTTAATTCTTCTTTGCTGCTTGCTGTGATTTGAGACTCTTGCAGTAGCTAAGTAAGTAGGGCGGTAGTCGGCTGGGTTATGTGAATAGCAGTAGTTAATTCAGTATTATAGGAAGGCTTGTGTTTCCTCACTCTCTTACTTTCCCACTCAGAGTTCTTACACTGAAGGATTAGGTCCTCTCCTCAGTTTTCCTCCTACACTCCTGATACCTTATTTCTCAAGCATTCCCAAGTGAGTTTACTTGTAATCTCAGATATAAATAATTTACATTTGTGAGGGATTCCGTTTTCACTTCAGCTTCTAAAGCCTCCCAGGGTAGATATTCTTTTTCATTGCCCCATCCCTTCTTTTTTTTCCCTTTCTTTAAGTATTTTTATTGATTTTTAGAGAGAGAAGACCAGAGAGGGAGAGGGAAACCTCGATGTGAGAGCATAACATCGATTGGCTGCCTCCTGCGTACCCTCTGCTAGGGATTGAGCCTGAAACCCGGGCACGTGCCCTGACCGGGAATCGAACCAGCAGCCTTTTGGTGCACAGGCCGACGCCCAACCGTCTGAGCCACTCCGGCCAGCACACCCTTCCCTTCTTAATGGATAAGGCATTTACTTGCACACAGAGTGGTAGTTTCCAGTGAACAGTGATGCATGAATGTGGCACTCTAAAGAAGGGGACCTAAAGATACTGAACTTCATTTAATTGTTGTACACTACATTTCAGGATTTTGCTGT